GTTCATAGAGTAACGGAGCAACAGTTCCATAGCTGTAGTTACAAAACCCCAGTGAGATGTAACATTAAAATTCTGAGGTTCCCAAGCAAGCTCCATCTCAGTAACCACCCCGGCCCATGTCCCACCAAAAGAAGAACATAGTCCCAAAATAATTATGTGGCAGGACAATGGGCCTTCAAAGCAACTCCTAGTAAAGTTGGCAGGTATTCCTACAGGCCCTAGCCGCTATACAGTTCTATGTGAACGTGAGCAGGACCCAATGAAACACTAGAGTGCCCAGGCTAGATGGAAGTCCGGATGGGCACAGAAGGCAACTAGTGACCAGATCCTTCTAGATAACATACAAACACAAAAAACATAGAGTTCTCCAGGCATTGGTTCTCCTATAGCCCCAAGTCTGTTATAAAGATAGCAGTTTAATGTAACAAAGAAATTATTAGTTACATTAATTGATACGTAAATGCAATTCATGTTGAATTAAAGTGACATTGAGAGTGTTCAGATTAAAAATAGAGTATACAGTTGCAAGAAAAAGTATGTGAACCCCTTGGGATTATGTGGCGTTTTGCATGAATTGGGCATAAAATGTGCTCTGAACGTCATCTAAGTCACAACAATAGAAGAACACAGTCTGCTGAACATAATACTACACAAACATTAGATGTTGCCATGGTTTAATTGCACATAACATGTAAACATTCACAGTGCAGGGAGGAAAAAGTATGTGAGGCCCTAGCTTAATGACTTCTCCCAGAGCTAATTGGAGCCAGGAGTGAGCCAACCTTGACTCCAATCAGTGTGATGATATTGGATGTGTTGCTGACAGCTGTCCTGTCCTTAAAAAACACACACCTGTTTTGGGTTTACTGGTTTCAAGAAGCACTGTCTGATGTGAACCATGCCTTGCAGAAAAAAAGCTGGAAAGGGCTACAAAAGTATCTCCAAAAGCTTTGATGTTCATGTGTCCACGGTAAGAGAGACTGTCTACAAAGTCGTCCTGTAAAAATGACTGCAAGAGCACAGCGCAGAATGCTGCATGAGGTAAAGAAGAATCCCAGAGTGTCAGCTAAAAGACCTACAGAAATCTCTGGCACATGCTAACATTTTTGTTGACACATCTACAATAACGAAAACATTAAGCAAGAATGGAGTACATGGAGAGGGAACACCACGGAGGAAGCCATTGCTGTCCAAAAAGAATATTGCAGCACGTTTGAAGTTTGCAAAAGAGCACCCGGATGTTCCACAGCACTACTGGCAAAATATACTGTGGATAGATGAAACCAAGATTGAGTTGTTTGGGAAGAACACAAAACACTATGTGTGGAGAAAAAAAGGCACAGCACACCAACATCAAAACCTCATCCCCCAGTGTAAAATATGGCAGGCTCAGAGGGAGTATCATGGTTTTGGGGCTGCTTTGCTGCCTCAGAGTCTGGACGGATTGTTGTCATTGATGGGGAAAATGAATTCCAGAGTTTATTAAGACATTTTGCAGGAAAACGTACGACCATCTGTCCGCCAACTGAAGCTCCACAGAGGATGGGTGATGCAACAGACAATGACCCAAAGCATACAAGTAATTCAACAAAACAATGGCTGCAAACAGCACAGAATATGCCTTCTGGAGTGGCCCAGTCATGACTCAAAACCCGATTGAAATGCTGTGGCATGACCTTAAGAGAGCAATTACACCCAAACCATCCCAAGAATATTGCTACACTGAAACAGTTTTGTGAAGAGGAGTGGTCCAAAATTACTCCAGATCGTTGTGCAGGTCTGATCTGCAACTACAGGAAACGTTTTGGTTGAGGTTGGTGATTGCTGCCAAAGGAGGGTCAACCAGTTATTAAGTCCAAAGGTTCACATACTTTTTCCTCCCTGCACTGTGAATGTTTACAATGTTATGTGCAATTAAACCATGGCAACATCTAATGTTTGTGTAGCATTATGTTCAGCAGACTGTGTGTTCTTCTATTGTGTGACTTTAGGTGACGTTCAGAACACATTTTATGCCCAATTCATGCAAAACTCCACGTAATCCCATGGGGTTCACATACTTTTTCTTGCAACTGTATGTTTGTAAACTGAGCTCAAACTTCAGTCAGCAAAGTGTACATGACAGTGTGTCAGCTACCCCATTTCCTTGGAATGTTATGTGCAAAGTTAGGCAGCAATTATTTACTTTTTTTATGCTGAAATGAAAGAATATTAGGAGGTTTCTGATCTATTTTGAAATGTTATGAAAAAGATAAAACCTCTTGTAATTTTCATCTATATATTTTGTATAATTAAAGATACAAAACAATTTGAATCATTTTCTATATGTGCATTATTATACTGTAGATGAAAGTGAACAATAGTTTCCAGTATTATGGAAAAAGAAAAAAACATTGTGTAGCTGTAATTGTTTTAATAGGACTTTAAACTGGCCATACATAGATTGTTTGCCAGAAAATTCTCATCAGTACATTCAATAGCATGATGTATATTATTCCAAATACTTAAAAAAATTGCTTTTAACATTCAAATTTTGGAAGTAGTGAATGGACTTTCTTAAATGAAAAGCACATTCATACCCTTAGATTGTACGCCCTTTGACGGTTAGGGACTAGAGATTGAGCGAAGTATTCAAAAATTCGATTCGACTGATTCGGCGAATTCGTGGACAATATTCGATTCGAGTCGAATATATTCGCTGTGTGAAATTTAAACTTAAAAAAGGGTGTTTCTAGGCTTCAGAGAGACTTAATATTAGTGCAGAACACTGTACCTTTAATTTAAATGCCCTTGGAGTCTGCTGGGGAAGAGAAATAATAAATGTCAGTCAGTATATGACATGCAGATGAGTGCCGTCGATCTTAAAGAATCACCGCACACTTCACTCATTTTTTGGCCCGCGAGTCCACGGGGCCAAAAACCAGTGTTTGGATAGCCACAGTGTGGCGGTGGAGGCAGCAGCAGCAATGGGAGGCCATACAGCAACCTATGACAAAATGGAAACCAGCAGGAGTGTGAGGAGACCTCAAAGTGGCACATGGCAGAGGTGGGAGCAATGGGATGGCGGTACAGGGACCCATGTCACACTTGTGGACCCAGCAGCAGGCGTGACCAGGCGGGGTACGGGGGCCCATGGCAGATTTGGGGCCTGGCAGCACCTATGGGAGGCCTGTAATCTGCCAGCAACCTATGACAAAATGGAAAACAGCAGGAGGTGATGAGGAGACCTCAAAGTGGCACATGCAGAGTGTGGAGCAATGGGAGCAGGCGGGTTATAGGGACCCATGTCACACTGTGTGACCCCAGCAGCAGCGTGACCCAGCGGAGTGGGGTTACGGAGGCCCATGGCAGATTACAGGGCCGTGGCAGCAGCAATGGGGAGGCCCGTAATCTGTCAGCAGCTATGAAAAAAAATGGAAAACACACCAGCAGTGTGTGAGGAGACCTGAAAGTGGCACATGGCAGAGTGTGGCGATGGAGACAGTTAGCAATGGGAGGCCGTACAGGGGACCCATGAGAGACTCTGGACCTGGCCAAAGTAGCATGAGGAGGCGGTTCTTTTAATAGGGGATGCCCATGGCAGATTAGGGGCCTGGCAGCAGCTATAGGAGGCCCGTAATCTGCCTAGCACCCTATTATGACAAAAAAAATTCAACACATCAGCAGTGTCGTGAGGAGACCTGAAACGTAGGCACCATGGCAGAGTGTGGGCGATGGAGACAGCGCAGCAATGGGAGGCCGTACAGGGACCCATGAGAGACTACTGGACCTGGGCAGCAGCATGCGAGGAGGTTTGCGGTATAGGGGGCCCATGGCAGATTAGGGGGCTGGCAGCAGCTATGGGAGGCCCGTAATCTGCCAGCACCCTATGTCAAAAAATTCAACACACCAGCATGTGTGGAGGAGACCTAGAAAGTGGCACATGGCAGAGGAGTGGCGATGGAGACAGCAGCAAAATGGAGGCCGTAATACAGGGACCCATGACACACTCTGGACCTGGCACAGGGCAGCATGAGAGAGGTGGTACAGGGGCCATGGCAGATTACGGGCCTGGCAGCAGCAATGGGAGGCCCGGAATCTGCCAGCACCCTATGTCAAAAAAATTCAACACACCAGCAGTGTGAGGAGACCTGAAAGTGGCACATGGCAGTAGTGTGGCGATGGAGACAGCAGGCAATGGCGAGGCCGTACAGGGACCCATGACAGACTCTGGACTTGGCAGCAGCATGAGGAATGGCGGTTACGGGGGCCCATGGCAGATTACGGGCCTGGCAGCAGCAATGGGAGGCCCGTAATCTGCCAGCACCCTATCGTCAAAAAAATTCAACACACCAGCAGTGTTTGATATCTAGTGAGGGAGACTGAAAGTGGCACATGGCAGAGTGTGGCGATGGAGACAGCAGCAAATGGGAGGCCGTACAGGGACCCATGAGGAGACTCTGGACCAGGCAAGCAGCATGAGGAGGTGGTATATAGGGGCCTATGGCACAGATTAGGGGCCTGCAAGCAGCAGCTATAGGAGGCCCGTAATCTGCAGCACCCTATGTCAAAAAATTCAACACCACCAGCAGTGTGAGGAGACCTGGGAAAGTGGCACATGGCAGAGTGTGTGAGCGATGGAGGACAGCAGCAATGGGAGGCCGTACAGGGACCATGACAGACTCTGGACTTGGCAGCAGCATGAGGATGCAGTATATAGGGGCCCATGGCAGATTAGGGGCCTGGCAGCAGCTATGGGAGGCCCGTTAATCTGCCAGCACCCTATGTCAAAAAAATTCAACACACCAGCAGTGTGTGAGGAGACCTGAAAGTGGCACATGGCAGAGTGTGGCGATGGAGAGACAGGCAGCAATGGGAGGACCGTACAGGGACCATATGAGTGGACTCTGGACTACTAAGTGGCACTGCAGCAGCATGAGGAGGGCGGTATATAGGGAGCCTATGGCAGATTAGGGGCCCTGGCAGCAGCTATAGGAGGCCGTAATCTGCCAGCACCCTATGTCAAAAAATTTCAACACACCAGCAGTGTGAGGAGACCTGAAAGTGGCACATGTTTGGGGCAAATGATTCATGGCGGATTTTAGGTCAGTTGTGTCAGGAACTGGTGGTTTGAAAATCCAGACTATCCACGCCTGATTCATTTTCACAAACGTGAGTCTCTCTACACTTTGGGTGGACAACAGTCGTAAGTCCTCCGCGGAGTTACAATACCTCCTGCCGCACTAAATACGCGCTCAATACCGATGCCACGCTACTGGCCGGGCATGGACAGCCTTTCAAGGGCAAAATTCAAGCTAGTTGGGGCCAAAGGTCAAGTTTCGTTTGTCCCAGTAGTCAAGGGGGATTGTCTACCTCGGTTGCAGGGTGCTGTCCAAGTAGGCCCAAGCCTGTTGTTTTGAGCTCCCCTGCTCCAGGTCCACCTGATGCTGCTGCTGCTGCGGCTGGTTAGTAGTTTCCTCACTGCGCTGGTGAAGAAAGCTACTCATCATCGACTGCAGACTGAGGCAGCCGCTGCTGGTGGAGCTGCCCACTGCTGCTCCTACCACCCCACCCCCCCCTGCTGCCATGGCAGCGGAACGCGAGACGCACAGGGCCCACAGTGTCTGAGATGGACATTGGCGCAGAAAGGCAGAGACCAACTGACTACATAGGTGGTTTTTATAGTACGTTAATTTTGGCCCTCCCACTCTCACCCCTCAAGCAGGTGTGAAAAAGGCCACCATTTTTTGAACGGTTTTAGCGAGGGTCCATCATACAACAAGGTGGACAGCCAAAAGTCATCCCTCTGTCTGATGGTTATTATTCGGACTGTCGCTACGCAAGCAACCGAGCATGCTATGGGCCATTTGTGCCAAGGAATGCGAGGGACCTCCCTGCCATCCAATCTCCACTAGCATTACTGCCACGGTGCGTCTGGGTCCCCTGTCTCCTCCCTCCTCCTCCTCTACCAGAGATGCTCCTTGCTCCTCCACTCCTGTCCGCTGAGTGGAAAAAAAAACACCATTTCACTCAAGAATTCCTGAGCACAAATGTCCTCCTCCTACCTCCTCCTCTTCTTCCTGTCCTGCCCCCACAGGGGGTACATGTGGCTGTTGAGATCTAGTGCGCCACGTCTACCGCACCCTGACCAGCCATTGTTTTGTTAACAGCATTGTGTTCCAGGACGTGCAACAGAGGAATGACGTCGTTCATCCCTTTTGTCCTGGCCGGGACTCACGAATAGCGTGGCCTCCCTCAAAGGGCCTGAGCAAAGCGGGCAGGTGTCAACTCGCATGAGCTGCCAATGGCTGACATCGAAGTTACACAGGGGGAGTACCTTTATCCGCTTGTAACATCAGGGGAAATCGGTGATGGCCTTTACTCGCTGTTCGTAAAGGCGGGGGGGTTCTCTAACATGTGTAGGGTTGATTCCACCTTGTTTAGCAACGTCGCAGATCAGGCGATGCTGTGAATTCCGTATTCTGAGCCGCTGCAGCTCAAGGAGGGTGTGTGCTTTTGCGGGTGTAGGAATGGCTGAAATGCATGCCAAAGTTTACGTGACCATTTTAAGGATGTCTTGCAGTGGGATGGTGGATTTTAGGAACCGCTTGACAACCAGAGTTGAACACCGTGAGCCATGCATGGCGCATGGCATGGCACAACCTTACTTGACGCAGAGCAGACAACCATGATTCTTTCCGTTTGCCGGCATCAACATGGTTCGATTTTCAGTTGCGCGGAGAGGAGGGAGTACCCATCTGTCGATTTCTCTGTTCATTACACTGAGAAGTTCCTCCCCTGTGTGACATACGTTCGCCTGGACATGGCATGCAGCATGAGGAGGCGGTTTTATTTTATAGTGGCCCATGGCAGCTGATTAGGGGCCTGGCAGGCAGCTATGGAAGGCCCTCGTAATCTGCCAGCACCCCTATGTCAAAAAAACACCACACCAACACAATACCAGCAGTGTTGTGAGGGAGACCTGAAAGTGGCACATGGCAGAGGCTGGTGTTGGCGATGGAGACAAGCAGCAATGGGAGGCCGTTACAGGGACCCCATGAGAGAGACTCTGACTGGCCTGGCCGCAGCATGAGAGGCGGTAATATAGGGGCCTATGGCAGATTAGGGGCCTGGGCAGCAGCTATAGTGAGGCCCGTAATCTGCCAGCACCCCTATGTCAAAAAATTCAACACACAACCAGCAGGTGTGTGAGGAGACCTGAAAGTGGCACATGGCAGAGGCTGATTGGTTGTGGCGATAGGATAGACAGCAGCAATGGGAGGCCGTACAGGGACCACATGACAGACTCTGGACTTGGCCTAAGCAGCATGAGGGTGGCGGTATAGATAGGGGCCCATGGCAAAAGATTAGGGCCTGGCAGCAGCTATGGGAGGCCCGTAACTCTGCCAGCACCCCATATGTCAAAAAAATTCAACACACCAACAGTGTGAGGAGACCTGAAAGTGGCACATGGCATGAGAGACTGTGGACCTGGCAGCAGCATGAAGAGGCGGGTATAGGGGCCCATGGCACGAATTAGGGGCCTGGCAGCAGCTATGGGAGGCCCGTAATCTGCCAGGGACACCCTATGTCAAAAAATTCAACACACCACAGCAGTGTGTGAGGGGGACCTGAAAGTGGCACATGGCCAGAGGGCAAGGGGGGGGGGGGTGGGGGAAGGTTGGGGGGGGGCGATGGAGACAGCAGCAATGGGAGGCCGTACAGGGACCCATGACAGACTCTGGACCTGGCAGCAGCATGAGGAGGCGGTATATAGGGGCCCATGGCAGAATTAGGGGGGGCCTGGCAAGCAGCTTATGGGAGCGGCCCGTAATCTGCCAGCACCCCTATGTCAAAAAATTCAACCACCAGCAGTGTGTGAGGAGACCTGAAAGTGGCACATGGCAGAGTTGTGGACGATGGAGACAGCGCAGCAATGGGAGGCCGTACAGGGACACATGAGAGACTCTGGACCTTTGGCAGGCAGCATGAGGAGGCGGTGATATAAGAAGGGCCCTATGGCAGATTTAGGGGCCTCGGCAGCAGCTATTTAGGAGCCCCGTAATCTGCCAGCACCTATGTCAAAAAATTCAACAACACCAGCAGTGTGTGAGGGAGACCTGAAAGTGGCACATGGCAGAGTGTGGCGAATGGGAGACCAGCAGCAATGGAGGCCGTACAGGGACCCATGACAGGACTCTGGACTTGGCAGCAGCATGAGAGGCGGTATATAGGGGCCCATTGGCAGATTAGGGGCCTGGCAGCAGCTATGGCGAGGCCCGTAAAATTGCCAGCACCCTATGTCACAAAAAATTCAACACACACCCAGCAGTGTGAGGAGACCTGAAAGTGGCACATGGCAGAGTGTGGCGATGGAGACAGCAGCAATGGGAGGCCGTACAGGGACCCATGACAGACTCATGGACTTGGCAGCAGCATGAGGAGGCGGTATAGGGGGCCCATGGCAGATTAGGGGGCCTGGCTGCAGCTATGGAGGCCCGTAATCTGCCATGCACCTATGTCAAAAAATGTGCAACACACCAGCAGTGTGTGAGGAGATCTGAAAGTGGCCACATGGCAGGCAGTGTTGGCGATGGAGACAGCAGCAATGGTGAGGCCGTACAGGGACCCATGAGAGACTCTGGACCTGGCAGCAGCATGAGGAGGCGGTATATAGGGGCCTATAGGGCAGATTAGGGGGGCCTGGCAGCAGCAGCTATAGGAGGCCCGTAATCTGCCAGCACCCAATGTCAAAAAAATTCAACACACCAGCAAGTGTGTGAGGAGGACCTGAAAGTGGCACATGCGCGCGAGTGTGGCGAATGGAGACCAGCAGCAATGGGATGGCCGTAACAGGGACCCATGACAGACTCTGGACTTGGCAGCAGCTATGAGGAGGCAGTATATATTAGTAGATAGGGGCCCATGGCAGATTAGGGGCCTGGCAGCAGCTCTATGGGAGGCCCCGTAATCTGCACAGACCCTATGTCCAAAAATTGATACAACACCAGCAGTGTGTGAGGGCGACCTGAAAGTGGCACATGGCATGAGAGACTGTGGACCTGGCAGCAGCTTATTGAGGAAGGCGGTCTTATAGGGGCCCATGGCAGATTAGGGGCCTGGCAGCAGCAGCTATGGGAGGCCCGTAATCTGCCCAGCACCCTATGTCAAAAAATTCAACACACACCAGCAGTGTTGAGGAGACCTGAAAGTGGGCACATGGCATGAGATGAGACTGTTGGACCTGGCCAGCAGCATGAGGAGGCGGTATAGGGGCCCATGGCAGATTAGGGGCCTGGCAGCAGCTTTATGGGAGGCCGTAATCTTCCAGCACCCCTATGTCAAAAAATTCAACACACCAGCAAGTGTGTGAGGAGACCTGAAAAAGTGGCACATGGCAGAGTGTGGCGATGATGAGGGACAGCAGCAATGGGAGGCCGTTCTTACAGGGACCCATGGACAGACTTCTGGACTTGGCAGCAAGCATGGAGAGCGCCGGTTATATAGGGGCCCATGGCAGATTAGGGGGCCTGGCAGCAGCTATGGGAGGCCGTAATCTGCCAGCACCCTATGTCAAAAAATTGAACACAAACAGCAGTGTGTGAGGAGACCTGAAAGTGGCACATGGCAGAGTGTGGCGATTGGAGACAGCAGCAATGGTGAGGGCCGTACAGGGGACCCATGAGAGACTCTGGACTTGGCAGCAGGCATGAGGAGGCTGGTTATATTGGGGCCTATGGCAGATTAGTGGGCCCTGGCAGCAGCAGCTATAGGAGGCCCGTAATCTGCCAGCACCCTATGTCAAAAAATTCAACACACCAGCACGTGAGTGAGGAGACACTGAAAGTGGCACACATGGCAGAGTGTGGCGATGGACGACAGCAGCAATGGGTGAGGCCCGTACAGGGACCCATGACAGACTCTGGAACCTGGCAGCAGGCATGAGGAAGGCGGGGTGGTAATATAGGGCCCATGGCAGATTAGGGGCCTGGCAGCAGCTATGGGAGGCCCGTAATCTGCCAGCACCTATGTCAAAAAAAATTGAACACACCAGCAGTGTGAGGAGACCTGAAAGTGGCACATGCATGAGAGACTGTGGACCTGCAGCAGCCATGAGGAGGCGGTATAGGGGCCCATGGCAGATTAGGGGCCTGGCAGCAGCTATGGGAGGCCCAGTAATCTGCCAGCACCCTATTCAAAAAATTCAACACACCAGCAGTGTGTGAGGAGATCTGAAAGTGGCAATATGGCAGAGTGTGGGCGATGGAGACAACCCACCGACTCGTTTTGCTCGCTGCCAAGCTGCCACCCTCTTCTCCTGATGATGCGGAAGCAATAGCCTGATGACGACGAGGTGCCAAGTGCGATCAGCCTCATCATCATCAATTAGGGTCTCCGCTCACTACTAGCCCCCTCGGCTGCGTGTGGGTCAGGAGACAGACCTGTTCTACACCGGGCTACCGAGCCACTCTCCTCGCCACTACTTCTTCGCCTGGCTGCTGAAGAGGCGGATGTCTCCCCCCGTTCCTGACCGCCCTCTGTTAGCTCTTCCTCACTGTACTGGATGACACGGGAGCACTAGCCTCTGGCTGCGAATAGTGCTGCCTCGACCCCTTCCTCTGCTGCCACGTCTGCTCGCTCCTAAAACATTGCCTCCTCTGCCCACTCCTCTGCATGTTGTCTGACATATCTCTTTAATTAAACGATTCTGTGTCCCTGAGTAACAATTCTGTGTCCCTGAGTAACGTTTCTGTGGCCCTAAGTAACAGTTCTGTGGCCCTAAGTAACAGTTCTGTGGCCCTCAGTAACAATTCTGTGTCTGCCCCTGAGTAACAATTCTGTGTCCCTCAGTAAACAATTCTGTGTCCCTCAGTAACAATTCTGTGTCCCTCAGTAACAATTCTGTTCCCTGAGTAACAATTCTGTGGCCCTCAGTAACAATTTCTGTGTGTCCTCAGTAACAATTCTGTGTCCCTGAGTAACAATTCTGTGTCTGTCCCTGAGTAAGAATTCTGTGTCTGTCCCTGAGTAACGTTTCTGTGGCCCCTAAGTAAAGGTTCTGTGGCCCTCAGTAACAAATTCTGTGTCCCTGAGTAACAATTCTGTGTCTGTCCCCTGATTAACAATTCTGTGGCCCTAAGTAACGGTTCTGTGGCCCTCAGTAACAATTCTGTGTCCCTCAGTAACAATTCTGTGTCCCTCAGTAACAATTCTGTGTCTGTCCCTGAGTAACAATTCTGTGTCTGTCCCTGAGTAACGTTTCTGTGGCCCTAAGTAACGGTTCTGTGGCCCTCAGTAACAATTCTGTGTCCCTCAGTAACAATTCTGTGTCTGTCCCTGAGTAACAATTCTGTGTCTGTCCCTGAGTAAACAATTCTGTGTCCCTGAGTAACGTTTCTGTGGCCCTAAGTAACATTTCTGTGGCCCTCAGTAACAATTCTGTCTGTCCCTGAGTAACAATTCAGTTGTCTGTCCCTGAGTAACAATTCTGTGTCTGTCCCTGAGTAACAATTCTGTGTCCCTCAGTAACAATTCTGTGTCCCTCAGTAACAATTCTGTGTCCCTGAGTAACAATTCTGTGTCCCTGAGTAACAATTCTGTGTCCCTGAGTAACAATTCTGTGTCCCTCAGTAACAATTCTGTGTCCCTGAGTAACAATTCTGTGTCTGTCCCTGAGTAAGAATTCTGTGTCTGTCCCTGAGTAACGTTTCTGTGGCCCTAAGTAACGGTTCTGTGGCCCTCAGTAACAATTCTGTGTCCCTGAGTAACAATTCTGTGTCTTTCCCTGAGTAAAGAATTCTGTGTCTGTCCCTGAGTAACGTTTCTGTGGCCCTAAGTAACGGTTCTGTGGCCCTCAGTAACAATTCTGTGTCCCTGAGTAACAATTCTGTGTCTGTCCCTGAGTAACAATTCTGTGGCCCTAAGTAACGGTTCTGTGTCCCTCAGTAACAGTTCTGTGTCCCTGAGTAACAATTCTGTGGCCCTAAGTAATGCATTATGGGTCAGCGCGCCTTGTCTGCGCGCCCTTCCCAGACATCCCCGCTCCGTCGCCGCACATGTCCGCCGCCATTTTAGGAAAATTTTCCAATATTCGACTCGAATTCCACTTCGCCTACTTCGATTCGCTCATCTCTATTAGGGACTCATGTGAATGTACAATATATGTGTAAAGCACTGCGTAGATTGATGGCGCTATATAAGTACCTGTAGGTACCAGAAAAAAATTTCCATCTGGTTCCTTCAAATTTTCTTGTCACTGCGGTCAAAAACAAATGTTGCTTTGACCCCACTAACCATTAAAAAAGTCCACTAGGATTTCTACTAGTGTATAGCCTGCTTTAGACACTGTGGGATTTACACCACTTGTTTAAAAAACACCCCATGCTATGCTGAAAGTGTTACTGCATGAAAAAACAAGAGGTGTTAATTTACAAAGATTTGCACCATGACACACTTTGAAGAAAGACTTGACAGTTTAAGTGGGAAAATGAATTCATTATATCTCCTTTGTGACAGCTAGAGTTTTTTAATTTAATTATTCTCTTTTGGCATATGCAGGACCCGATTCCCTGTTTGAGCTTGTGAAATGTTCATGATTAAGAATGATTAGTATAATATAAGCCTTTGTACACTATTCTTGACACCAAACAGTTACAAATATGTAACCCAATTATTCCAAATGTACAAAACAAATATTTATTCTCATTGTTCAGTTGTCATACTAATTACATATATTTTGTCTATAACCAAAAAGCAACTTTTACTGAGTTTGTGTTCTCCCAACAATCTGGATGATTAAGTTCAACAGTGACTCTATTAGGGCAAGTGACTCTTTTTGAAATAAAATACATTTAGCTTTTTTTAAATATACTATTTTATACCATATACCCCTTCCATAACATCCCATCCATCAGAATTTCTACCATACTGGGTGTAACCTAGTAAAATTCATAAGTCCTCAACATCTATCTCCTAATTTCCAAGGCTTAAAGCCATTAAAGGGTAAGTTCACATTTTATCAAAAATGTAGCTATAAAAAATTTACTATTTTTTTTGGGAGCCTGGAAAGCATTGCCCCCTGCCATGCAGGACTTTTGCAGACCTGTTAGTATATATGTGTGCTCGTACCTCATAGGGGCAAGCAGATACACACTGACAGGAAGAATCAATGAGCTCAACAGCGCCATGGTAGTTAATTTAGAAGTACAAGCCAACAGCCACAAAGGCTGTCAGAACTTGTAGTTTTCCCATTACAGGATACTGTGAATGAGTGACGTGGCCAGTTGGGAGGAGCCCCGCACAGTCAAGGTTTTTTTTAAATTGTGACAGCAGTAGATCCCCTTCTAGCTGTCACAATGGGGGAGCGGGGGCCAGATCTTTCATAACCTGTTACACCCTGAATATGGGTGTAACATGTAACATGTTAAGAAAGGTGAATTTATCCTTTTAAATAAAATATGTAATCAATTCTTACCATTAGTATCTATCTTTTCCTCTAAAGAAATACAAACTAGTATAATAACATCAATATTACCTTTCTACCAGTTCATATCAACTAATTTATTCACAGAACCTTGAATAAAATGTACAATATGATCCTCAAACTTATGACTGTTTACAACAGTATTTTCTTGTATGGCACATTCTACAAGGGTGAATTTA